TTTTATTTAGTAAGTCATACTAATGAGATAGAGAGTCATAATACTGACTCAATGGAAACGCTTACTGGGACACTTAATTTTACTGAGCCATTGCTATGGTATACATGTCATCTGTTCTTATCCTACTACACTATGACAAGTCAATATGTCTGCTTTAAAAAAGGTCTATTGATATAAATCTAGAATTAAGAGTAAAGCATGTTGCTCCTGTTCTTAGTTGACAAGATCTTCCTTAATAGTCTTTTTTTTTACCTTACACATGTAAAATATCAGGCTATTATAAATCATCAGTCCTCCTCACACCGTATTAATTATATTCAAGATTATTTTAAATCCATCACTGCCAATAGCCAATAGGCTCACTCTGTCTCACATTAGCCTTGCAACAGTGACAGCAGGCTATAGCAAATGTGGAGACGCCAGTGTTTACACCATAACCTCTAGTGTGACCATCAGCAGGTGCAGCAACTTTCCATCATGTTGCATACGTGCTGTCTGTGGTCACATATTTTGATTCTCTTAAAAAAAGAATGCAACAGCTAAGGGTGGCTTACAGTTTTTTTTTTTATCTTTAGCATTTAACTTAAGTTACTGTCTGGATGTATTGTTTATTGTATGAATGCAAAATAAGACATATAGCGCTGTTGTTCTGTTTCTATCAATGTCATTTTTTTGGAGCTCCCGAATGTAAATAGAAAGCTAGAAAAAGGAAAAGGAATCCTTTGTAATAATGAAGCTCCAAGTTCTCCATATAGCAACATATTGTTGTCAAATGTAAGTGTATGAGTGAAAGTAAATTAGTTCTTGCTGTAATGTACGGTTGGCATTATGTGCTTCTGAGCTCTCAGTAGTATGTTTTTTTCCACTTGCTAGCCATGGTGGTCAACAGCATTGAATAGAACAAGCACTTAATTCATGATAAGCTATAATCAGCCTGGTGCTTTGAGACAGACCAGGCCGGCGAGGACGTTTGGAGGAGAAACACAGATGGAGTGACTAACAGTAAGTACTCTTAGCATGCAAGTATATAGTTTGTTAAAAGTAGGGCTGCATGCTATTAAAGATTATTTTGAAAATCAATCAATCTGTTCATTTAGGGATTAATCAAATGTAATTTCTAAAATGCTAAACAAATTCCTTCTTCAAAACATTTCCTTGCTTGTTTGTCCAACAGACTACAAATCTAAAGGTAGTGATTAAGTAGGTCGTCAGAAACATAAAGGCCTTTTTTTTTTATAATCCATTTGTGTTTTGTGCACATTTTTAAGTAAAAATGCAAAAATGGATGTGCTTCTCTGTATCATGTTCTTGAAAACTCACTATCTTTGGCTGTTGTTGGACAAAACAAGGCATTTGAAGGCATCACCTCAGGCTCAGAGGAACCAAATCAGGCAATAGTCTTCACATAGATTGATAATGGAAATAAAGATGTATTTCTAATAAACACACAGACTTTTTTCCGGAGACTGCTCCCAGTTTGACCCCTGTTAAATAATGGCTAACTTTAAGGGAAATGCTCTAAATTGCCATCAAACTGTGAAAGCAGATTTACTGAAAGAAATAACGTGAAAGTAATGAACTTAGAGCCACTAACGACTCATTTGGTTCTTTATGGAACCACCAGGACCCCTGAAGCAGCACGTATTGCACAACAGAACTATAAAGAAGATCTCAGCTTAACACTGTCTGTGTCCCTGTGTGTGTGACTGAAATGTTATTTGGAGGTGATTATTTGATTGCCGGTTGCTTCCATCTTGCTCATTTCAATTGCATCAGAAGCTTCTCCCTGTTGCCATGGAGATTATTATCTTTCATAACTGACACATCCCACCTCCTCCTCATATTTGATTTGACAACCATGGTTTGTAACTGTTTAAAACAGCAAGACATTCATTAATGCAGAAAATACTCTAATTAGCTTTCTTTTTTTTTGACAGCATGATAGAGCAATAGTCGGTAGGTTTTTTACAGAGGCAGAACTTAGAATAGGAAATGAGTTACTGGTGCCGTTGTCGGTAGCAATATTCTTCAAGATGCAATCTTTATCTGTCCTCTATCTCTCCTTAAATGCCCCGTTCGCTATCATAATGCCTGCTTCTCATATCTGATGGCCGTGTTGTGCTTAATAACAAGCTACGAGTGCAGGAGGGAGGGGTACGTTGGGAGATAAACAAATTAACAAAGCTATTCGCAGCCCCTGCAACACCAGGGGGCATGGGGGGGAGGAGAGAGGGCAGTGAAGAAAGAGAAAAGGGCTGCCTTAGCTAATCACAACAGGGGGCATACAGTACGCTGCAATCACTTAGGCACAGCATTATCTCTACAATCATGCATCCTCCTATTATACTGCTAATTGGAAACCTTAATTTCACACATAATATGATCGCCTCATTATTTGCCAGGCTTACTCTTACCCAATTTAATAAGAACGAGTCGGTGAGGTGATAACTGGTTCCAAACTGTCAAAAGAAATTGCTACAAATCATCAATGTCACATGTGTTTTTTTAGTTCTGGTGCAAAGACCCCGCTGTTAGTCTACTGGTCACACAACCCCTCCACTTAGCACGTGAGATCAGCACCGTTACATGCTGAGCCACGGATGACTGCGGCAAGAAGTGTAAAGTTTGGCTGAGTGTCATGAAAAGAAGGGAAGATTCAGCCAAATGTAACAGCTGCGCGAAGATGATTTACACGAAGGAGGAGAAGCATCTCTAGCAATCGGAAATGTTGGGCTCCAGCCTGGCAAGACTGCAAAGGAATATGTCCTTTCTATTTTGTATGTTGCCAAGTATGTCTTGATTCAGTCAGAAATATCTGTAGTATAGGCCATAGGGATGTTGGGTTTAAGATTTGTAACGATGTAGGGTTGTGGCTTTAATAGGAATATTTATTTGGTTAATCTTCTTGTATCAGTTAATCTATCTATAATTGATTACATCATTCGGTCTTTTAATGTATAATAAATGTAAATATTGGCCATTACATTTTCTTAAACCCAAGACAATGTAATCATTGTTTCTATTGTCTGACAAAAGGTCATAATTGAGGTCCTGGAAACAAGGTAACAATTGTAATCTTTGCTTGAAAATTAATAATTGTTGTTGACTTCTAATCTAGTTTCACATGTAATGCATGTTATGGGCCAGTAACATGACAAATGTATAAGAAACATGAACAATAATATAATAAATATATAGTTATTTCCTGAGAAACAGTATCATTAAAAATGTAATATTAAATATGTACACTATAACAACTGCCTGAGTAAGTGCAATAGAATTCCAGGAGCTGATTATATTTGGAATAAAGAGTCCTTCATTATCATAGTCATTATCATATTTTAAAGACTTTAAATATGATAATTAATTCAGGGTCTTATTATAATTTTTTATGATGTTAGGAATTAATATTCAATAGGAACCAGATTTAATGAGAGATAGACTCAAATCAATAAATATCAGCATGGCTATAATTTGATGAAAAAAAGCCAAACTATTGGGGAAGATTTATTTTTTCCTCGCTCCTCCTGTGTGAGAGTGTGTAAATTAATTTCTTGAAATGACTGAATCCTTATGTAATGAGAGGACCTAATCATCTGGTGGCCTGTGTCTCAACCTCTCCAGAAAAAGACATTAAGTCCATGACCGCTTTAATCTTCACATTTGAATATCTTTGATTTACAGGCGAACATATCATCCATGCTTACATCCCATACGTCTTGGTGCCGTTGCCATGGTGATGTCAACACGGAGATCGATCATTGCCAAGCAGGAGTTGAGCATGACACCAATTAAAAGGTGATGTCGTCTCCGAGTCATCACTCACACTCCTCACTAATGCACTAATTACCGGGGCCGGGACATTAATGGAATAGCATGGTTCAGCCTGGGGATTAATCTGCATGGATTCACCAGTGTGTGCTGGTGTGTGTGATGTCTGCCTGTGATGTGTGTGTGTGTGTGTGTGTGTGTGTGTGTGTGTGTGTGTGTGTGTGTGATTAATTCGAGCCCCCGCCTGCTCCGCCGTGACCTTGAGCACCACCACGGGAGGGAAATTAAGCGGTTGGGTGGAGGGTTGGGATATCTGCTCTTAGGGCGGAGGAGGGAAAACGATGTGGCGAGGTGGAGGGGCCCGGGCCAAGGTTGAGGGTGGAAGGGGAATTTGAAGGGGATCGATGAATACATTTTGGGGTTTGACATTGACAGAATCAGCCGACGATCTTCCAGATAACTCCAGAAACTTGCTAGATTTAAAAGATCCAAGTTAATTACCAAATTAGTTTGAATCTCAGGAACTGATCAGATGATTTACTCAAGGAAAAGTATCAATACAGCTACCAATATAGTTTAAAATGTTAAACAAACTAGTTTTGGAAAAAAAAATCAAACAATAGGCTAATTGACTTGGAAAGACGTGAATGAAAAATTGTCAAAAACCTGAATAGTTAAATGTTAAAAAGTTAGAAAAAGTAATAAAGAATGTGTTTGTGTTTGTGTCGCTGTGGGTGTGTGACATAAAAACCCCGCATGACTTAGGACTTACTGGATGTGGGCATTCATCATGGAATAATTACCATTTGTGTGCGCTTTAGTCCAGGACAGCTCATTTAAAATGTGGACTGTATTCATAAAGAGGGTCACATTTGGAATACAGCCTGCTGTTTTTAAAGCCAACACCTTCAGAGTAAGAGTGTAATATTTACAGCCGACCTGCTCTGATCCATATCGATTTCCTTTTCTGTTTTTGTTTTTACTTTATTACCCTTTGAAGCCTGCAACATTTTGAATTTGTAAACATTTTTGTTCTCTCTCTTTTGTTATTGATTCCTTTTTTTGTTTAATTAGGCAGTGTCTTGACAAGCCTTCCAATTTCCGAGTCCCTCTAGCGATCTGTTTTCAAAATGTTGATTTCAAAGGAAACAAAAAGCACATCTCCCAGTTCAGCTATGCACGGAGAGAATGGTGAGGGCTCGATGGTTGATGTGTGCGCTGTAACTCACCGATGACGTATGTGAGCAGCAGGGCCAGGGTGAGGGTGAGCAGCGACGCAGACAGCGCTGTGCACTTCCAGTTGCAGCAGCGGTGAGGTTTGTTGAAGGTAAACAGTGGTCTGGTCACACTACTGCGAGGGAGGGGCCGGGGTGGGGGGGAGTACACGGTCCCGGAGGTCAGGGGGTAACCCTGCCCCGCCCCGGACAGTAGAGCCGAAGAACCAGAGCCCTGCTTGAACAGGAAGTGTCTGTTGGAGAAAAAATAAAATGTAATTCTCATCTGGATACAACTGTCCAGAAAGTGGGGAAATGCCATTGGGTGGAAGAATACAGCTATCTTTATAGTACTGGGTTTATTTAAAGATCATCCAACACAGGTTACATTGTGTTGGAAAAAGAAGCGAAGAGGAACAAAAAGTATTGCATTGAATGCTGAGCAGAAAGCAATATAAATAGAAATAAAAATAAGTTACCATTCTCAGGAAAACATAAATAGATACTTCCTGACCCTTTGGCATATTTCGCATTGCCTGTGGTAAGGATTCATATATGCAATAATTGTTCTTGCATGTGTAATGCGTATTCATGCATAATAATCACTTATGCAGCATATATTATTTTAAATGTATGCACATGCATTACTCTTTACTTACCACCAACAATGAGAGGTTATGAAAAAGCAGCAGTATGTACTTCACTTTACTTACCACATACAATGGTAACTTAAAAACACTATGGGTGGTTTATTTTACAGGTATTCATAATGTAGTGTAAGCCTCATCAAGGCAAGGCAAGTTTATTTATATAGCACCTTTCAACACAAGGCAATTCAAAGTGCTTCACAAAAATGAAAGACATTAAGAATATTAAGAAACATATTATAAAATGGCATTTAAAAACACCTCTACTTTATAACTAGTCAAAAGCATCCATAAAATACTTATATGGGTCAAATATTGTTTTATAGTGTTTTATGACCCTTTATATAGGGATATAGTCAGAAATAATTATGTGTTTTCATGAATGGTGTCATGAAGTGTTATGAAGCATTATAATTGGCTATGAATGCCTTCAAAGTGCACAACAGATTTGAGCTTTATAAAAAAAGTGTAATTTAAATGACTTGCTTTTGTTATGTTAAAGACATTGTACAACTCGTGAATGAACTAGCTACCCAGCTAATGTTAACGTTTTTTTCAATGAAGTTTGTGTTGAAATGTTTGTTAAAATAATGTACACATATTTCTATATTTCCTTTATTATTTTATAGTGGCCAGGACATTTTCATACACATTTCAGTTGACACTGAGCTGCTGCTCGACCTGCTTTTCAACACAAACTAAAGCCAACCTAATTGAATTTAAAAAATATAATTAGATGTTCATTGGTAATTACAGTGGATCCTTAGCTCAATCAAAAACAAACACTTCACATAATTACAATGTCATAATGTATCAATATGCTATTGTAGAAAAAACACATTTTGGGTTTCTATACTGTTTGATACACATTTCTAGCAGGCAAATATGATGCAAACTCACACCAAAGGATGAAATAAAGAAGGTGCAAATCATGAACTGTCTTTCTCAAGTGAGGATTCAGAGCGATAAGACAGGCAGAGAAAGAACAAAGAGTAGAGAAATGAACGAAGAGATTGTAATGTAGAAGGCAGAGACAAGAGGATATGAGGGAGAGGGAGCAGGTTATGGAAAAGTAATGTAATCTTTTATTTCTGTGTAGCGCTGCTGTCTTATATATAAGGGGAAAAGAGTCCGATTCGTATTTCACTCCCTGCCTTGGTGTTTCGCTTAGGTTTTCAAAAAGTATGCTTTGGCTTTTAACGTTACAAGAGAAAAGGCTCAGATGATGATGCGTTTGGCAAACGTAATGCTATCTGGGGGGGTTGGCCGGGATTTTTGGAGAGCAAACTTCCCCCAATCCAATATAAAGCAGGATGAAGCAGCTAATTACACCCTAACTCTGAAATACTACAAAGTGGATATGCTAGATCGGGAGAGTGCTTTTAATTCATTAAATAATGACACCATCCGTGTTACTCCCAAGGCTCATGCACTGTTGCTAGTTACAGTATTATGATAATGATAGCAGCTGATATTCAAGCATAAACAAAGAGGTGGGAAGTAGTGAAGTACAAATACTTTGTTACTGTACTTAAGTACATTTTTCTGGTATCAGTACTTTACTCCACTACTTATTTTTCTGACGACTTTTTACTTTGACTTCTTACATTTTTAACACAAATACCTGTACTTTCTACTTCTTACATTTTGAACACAAATACCTGTACTTTCTACTTCTTACATTTTCAAAACAGGTTTGTTACTTTAGTTTTAATCTGTGTTTAGTGGCCTGATCATTATTATTTAGAGTCATTTGATTTGAACACGATCCGTGTATCCATCATTTCCTGGTCTTCTCTAAAGAAGAGGGACCAATGAAAACTTTGTCATTTTGCCGTTGTTCAGCATCGAAACATTTATTAGCTAACAATGACATTATTGTTCTATTAATATAAAGGGAGGTCAGGTACTCTTAAATTAAAACAGCTGGTAGTTATATAGGATTAGTTTTGTTTAATAAAGATAAAGCAGCACTTTCTAAGAATCAAGCAAAACTAAGAGTTTAAGAGAAAAAAAAACATAACAATGCAAGCTAAGTAGCCTAACAGCAGGGACAGTTAGCTACATACAGTAGCTAGCAGTGAGTGAGCGTTCAGACACCGGCGCACACACTCAAACGGACTCGTGTGCCTGACTCAACCAACAGGCTTTCATGATTCTGTTTAGATATGCAAGTATAAGCCATGATAGCTTATTTTATTAACACACTTATAATTTGATATGAAAATTAGAGTTAACTTTGTAGAAAAACCTATCTTCCATGACTGCCCCTGAGCTTCTTATTTTTCATTACCTAAAACATTTATTTTCCTCTCATATTAACAGTGTGGATCATTGAGATAGCGTGGCGTCCAGAGGTCTTATCCCGTTTCCCACTTCCTCTGAGGGGACAGCACGGAGGGGGGGCATTAAGAAAGACTGCACCAGCTTCATCCACGCTGGCGTTACTGTTATCACTTGCTTAGTGTAATTTCATTTGACCAAATGTCTTTACATATACATTTAATAGATGTTATTATTATCCACCTTTTTGTTTTATGTCCTTTTATTTAAAACATTCTTTGAGACTTCATCTTCTGGTTCAAATTTCAATAAATGTAATTTGCATAATAACTCTTTTGTCTTTATTCTACATGAAAATGTTAGAGATTCCATTCAAATCTGTTAATTATTCATATCTTCCTCAGGCTAGGAATAGTATGTCGAATTTTTAATGCTAAATGTATATCATTTTCTCACAGGATATAGAATGAAACAGCACAGTTTGTATCCATTGTGTGTGAATGCTTCAGCTCTTCAGACCAACATAGTAGATGTGAGCATGTTCCTAATTGTGTTGGTATGCAACCTAGGTCTACTCTGTTTAATAAAGCAAATCTGCCACTTTTATATTGTAGAATTTGTTAAATTAAAGCAGTCTTTAATTGTTTGTCCTAAACATAGCAATATATGGATTTGAAATGTAACATGTCTTTGAAAAAATTAAAGTATACAGTTTATATTGTGCATCACCTTTAGCTTGAAAATACATAGATGTGTTTTTTTAATCTATAAAATAAATAAATAGACAGACACTTTATCAATCCCAAATTGGGAAATTATTTAACAGCAGCAGTGTGTTCAGGTATTAAAATATTTAAAGTTGGAATAAAGTATGAACTACACATCACAAGTATACTATGCACAGCAATCCATAAGAGGTGTCCGATATGTTCATGAAACTCCCCAGGAGACACCGACACTAATGTGGCCGAGTGGACTCCGGAGTTTGCTGCATGATCTGCACTATCCCTCCTCACCTCATACCTCAAAGACCGCATCTACAGGGTAACTTGGAGAGGGTCCGAGTCCGACCCTTTTCAATTAACTAGAGGGGGCCCTCAGGGCTCTGTTCTTGGTCCCCTCCTCTTCTCCTTGTACACAAACTCGCTCGGATCAGTCATTAGCCCGCATGGTTTTTCATACCACTGCTACGCTGACGACACCCAATTAATTCTGTCCTTTAGACAAAAGGGCCTTCCTTTTCCGTCAGTCAAGAACAGTTCCAAACTCGGAACTTCCACCACTCCGTCTGTAGGTGACTCTCCTAACATGTCGGATCTGTTCGTTTCTCTATCCCAACGCTGCTGGACCGCAGAGNGAGATTAAAAAAGCCCAATTGCTTTTACAATAAATAAACATTGAATGTGTTTAATTCAATAGTAAAGGGGTTTAACGTTAGTGGCAGTTTGTGTGTGAGAGAGAATAAATAAGACAGCCCAATATTTTAAAAAATTGTTATTCTTTTCCCCCGCATATTTAGCATATTTCACAACTTTCCGCATATTTCGCAACTTCCCGCAATTTCACCGCATAAAATCACATAAAACCCCGCATGTTTGATCACATAATCAAGGATTTTATCCCGCATAATCAAGGAATTTAGCCCGCATAATAAAGGATTTTTGCCCGCGTTTTTCTGGAGGGTCTACTTTATAGAGCTTCTACTCTTTATTTCTGATTAATTTCTTCTGGAAAAGAATAATCAGGGACTGATGTTATAAGCCTCTACTCAAAAACGTAGTATTTAAGTTTAACACTACATTCAATATGGTTGTCCGGTGTTGTTAACACGCTATTATGGAACTACACTGAACAAAAATATAAATGTAACACTTTTGTTTTTGCTCCCATTTTTCATGATGAACTCAAAGATCCAAAACACTTTCTATATACACAAAATAACCATTTCTCTCAAATATTGTTGACAAATCAAAAAAAAATCTGTGATAATGAGCACTTCTCCTTTGCCGAGATAATCCATCCCACCTCACAGGTGTGGCATATCAAGATGCTGATTAGACAGCATGATTATTGCACAGGTGTGCCTTAGGCTGGCCACAATAAAAGGCCACTCTGAAACGTGCAGTTTTGCTGATACTGACTGGTTTTCGGACCCCCCTAGACCCTGAGGCTGTGCGAAGTTAATGAAAGTGTTACATTTATATTTGTGTTCAGTGTAGTAAGGTACAAGACAAAAGACTATCAAGTGACCGTCATCAATTTTAACTTAATTTCTAGCGTAATCACCCCGTAACCCAAAACGCAATGTGGGGTAAAACACACCAGAGCTAACCACTGACTACTATTTGTCAGGCCTAATAAAATAGGACTTTTTTTAGCTTATCCCTAAATCTTTATAACACACTCAGCAGTCTCTAACTGTCTATACTGGCCTCTGACCTTAACACTTTTAAACACTCTGAATTAAAAACACACATTAATATATTTTCCGGCTTGAAAACACACACATACATTTCGGGCGGCGCCAATGATAAACAAAGAGACAAGCAGACCCAGTTGTCCGCTTCAAAACAACGCCACGTTTTAGATCTGTTGCAAATTTAGTTTAACATTAAAGGGGACCTATCATGCAAAATGCACTTTTGTACGTCTTTTATACATGAATATATGTGTCCCCGGTGTGTCAGGGAACACACCAAGTGTCAGAAAACACAACCCTCTCTCTTTTCCTCCATACCCAAATCTCTAAAAACGGGGCTGCAAAGGAGCTGATACAGACGTTAATATTTTTGACGTCAGAAAAGGGTTGCTCCGCCTATATCGGCAACTCTCCACCTATCAGGGGAATGGGGGGTTGGGCCACGGCCACTGCCGCTTGAAAGCGCTTTCAAGCGGCAGTGGCCGTGGCCCAACCCCCCATTCCCCTGATAGGTGGAGAGTTGCCGATATAGGCGGAGCAACCCTTTTCTGACGTCAAAAATATTANTTCTGTGTTTTCCGCTCCCGTCGGTAATCGGGCGTATTGGCGCGGCCCTTATCACACGGACAGGCTCTGTATATATCTGAGACCTGTAATAAATTGATGAAAAACAGTTTAATAGGGGACCTTTAAAGTAAGCCCCGCCTCTTCCTGTCAGTGAGTTCCAGGTGAAGGAGGCGTGTCCTGCAGGTGAACGTCTGGACAAACCCAGTCCAGACAGCGGCTGCTCGTTGGGATTCAGCTCCAGACTGTCCAGTCCTGTGAGACCGGCAGGAGACGGTGAGACAGAGAGACACAGAAACAAATCTTTAAATATGGCTAACAATGGTTTCCTCTTGGCTGAGGTAGGAACGTTGATGTATTGCTAACAGTGCACTGAAAACAGGTTTAGCGAAAAAAAATATGATCAGTGCTCTACATTGTTTTAAGCTTTGACTGCTGCTCTTTTAATAAGTGCATCTTAGGTCAGGATCTGCTGGTGAATGTGTTTATCAACTCCTAATAACCGCATAATAATTTATTTAATTTGTATTATCATACATTTGACCTCCTTGTGTCTGTTAACCTGATCAAATGTAATATTTAGCTGCATGTACCTTTTAAAGTTCTTAACAAACAATCTGAGGGGAACTTCTTGTGGTTTGTTTTGAACTTGTGATGTGTCATTTTGTAAAGCACTTTGAGCTGAATGTGTTGTATTGAAAATGCTGTATAAATAAAGCTTTATTATTATAATGGTAGTCGATGGCAACAAGCATTACTTTTCTTTAAATACCATTAAATGCTCAATCCATTTGGATGGAAACCTGGCCATAGACAGACAGATTCAGAAACACAGACATACGTACAAAGATACGATACGGACATTTCCTTTTTCTGTCACTTACCTGATGTAATCGTTCTCATTCTGTATTTTCCTTCGTGTCCTCTCTCAGATTCCGAGCCCACGGAGCCCCTCAGTATGGATGGAAACTCCTCTGAGATGGAGATGGATGAGGATGAAGAGGAGGGAGGAAGAAGAAGAGGAGAAGAACAGGTCAAGGCCTCTCAGGTCGTCCCTCAGACTCCAGACCAGGAAACTTTCCTGAAGGAAAACTTTGGGACACTGGCCGACCTCTCAGGCTTAGGTAAATCAGGACACAACTCCACGAACAACACAAAACATTAACCCTGTCAACCCTGTTAGACTTGAACTTGTAATGGTCTCGAAGGACTTCAGACCTGGACTTGTGGTTGTCTTGAAGATTTTAGACTTGGACTTGATTGAATATTGACGCGATTGTTTAGAACAGGGGTGCTCACCCTCCGCGGACTGGCCATCTGTAGAATCTGGAGAATCACAGAACAGCTCGATTCGCTGACGGCCGTCACCGCCCTTAATTTTTAATGTTTTTAAAAGGCGTCATTGAAGTTGCACCGACAGAGGTAAATGGTAAATGGACTGTACTTATATAGCGCTTTATCCAGTCTTTAAGACCCCTCAAAGCACTTTACATACTACATGTCATTCACCCATTCACACCCATTCATACAGAGCAGTGTACCTTACTCTAGGACCTAACATTCACACTCTCTGCTCTCTCTAGTCGTCGAACCGGGCGACCTGCCCTGGCCACTCGCCTCTTGTGTGTGGAACATCTGGATTGTTGATCGATTACCGTAAAGCTATGTACTTAATAGGTAAACTAATTATACATTAGTTGAATCCGTAGGGAGGGTTTTTTTTTTTTTATATTTATAAGTATTGAGTATCAAGCTTATGGACGGACTTAATTAAAACTTATAAAGTAATTAGCAAGGTTAGGGGATTAGGTATGTTGTGTTTTTTGTAACTCCCTGTTGTCTGGTTGATTGTCTTGGGTGTTTGTTATTGTAGTTTGTTGCTGTGTTTGTCGTGTCATCCGGTTGGATCATGAGTACACACTCAAATAAGTAACAATATAAAATTCGGGTGCAATCTTGGGAACTGGTAAGAAGGAAGACACAGGCCACGTTTAACCTGTGATCAGAGATTGTTTCGAGTAGGTCTCAAGGAGCGGCGACACACCTGTCGCAAGGTTACTGTCTAGTCAAAAACTTTTGGTATTGTTTTTAATTCCGCCTAGAAGTAGGTTGGTAAGACCTCCTAAACACTCAGCACACGTAAGTCTCGTTATGGTTATTATACAGATACAGATGCAAAGCACTAAATTTAGAACTAGGGCCTGCCTGTGTCAATGTATTCAATTTTCCATTAGATACAGTTTGGTGAAAAGACTAGAGCAAACGTAATGAGGGTTTTTATATATGTAACTGCCCGTGCCTATTCCCACGACGAGCTAATACGTTTTTAGTACTAGAGCTGGAATAAAACCCAATTATTAAACTATAAGTGCTAATTTGCTATTTTTGCTTAAATGAACTTTGTGGTAAATAACTTTTTTTTAACAAAATGTAATAACAAAGATTGTCAACTATGGAAACTTGAAATTAATAATAAAGTCGACTTTTTGGTTATGTTTTTTATATATTTTTTATTTTTTATTTATAGCAAATAAAGTAATTACACGAAGGACGATTAGCAACGTTCGGTTTTACCAATTAACGCTGAAATTTTATGCTAATTAACTCCGTCGGTAAACCCGTGCTGGTGTACTCTTACTGACCTTAACGGTCTCATGCAAAAATTGTTTCGGAAGTCAAAATAACCATAATTAAAAAAAATCCCATTATAAAAATTAAAAATACATAATAACAGAAACAACTTAGAATAAAAAAACAAAGATAAACATAAGGTGGTGTGTAAAAAGAAGAGTAAAAAGACATTGAGTGTATATGTTACAACAACAACAACCAACAACAACAAACAAAAATAGACTTAGGGTGACTCTGCTTCTACGAAACACTATAACCAGATATGTTATTATCAACTAAATAAAAGTAAACAATGGGTCTCTGCTCCTCCCTGCTGCCCTTGCTGCCGCCACACTCCTCCGCACCGGTTCGACGCAAACTCCTTGGTGCCGTTGTTCTTCTCCTCCTCCTTCTCCTCCTCCTTCACAGAAACTAAACTTCTTCTTCCCTTCTCCTTCATGCTCCCCAGAAGTAGCGGAAAAGACCACTGCAACTCGGTAGGGCTACTCTTTTACGCTAGCTCTGGTAAAGGGTACCTTCGACCACCAGCCTGATACATTCTGCTTGCAGGTCTGCGTCGTCCTCCTCCTTCTCCTCCTCCCCCGCCCCTACTTCTACAAAGGAGCCTCCACCGCTCCGTGCTTCCTTTCCTCTTCACTCTTCTCACTTCCTCCCTCGTTCTCCACGGCCACCCCGCACAAGGGACCTTACTCCCCTAATGGACGCACTAAAGTCCCCTTCACCCCAACCCAGAGACCTCCCACCTCCCATTTCTACGCTCCTGCAGACCCACCTCTTCGGCTGGCCACCCCCTGCGACCTCCCCCTCCCGAAGTTCCCCTCAAAGAGCACGTCCCCTCCCCCCTCAGTGGACCCTTCTCTCCTCTCACTCCTAACTCACACATAAGTATAGGAATGTTGTCCAGGTGGACAATACGTTTTAGGAGAAAGAGGTACAAAGAAGATGTAGTTGTAACAAGGGGAGAAGAAGTACACATGAAGTATGTAGTTGTACACAGGGGAGAAGTTATGACAGAGAAGATGTAGTTGTAACACAGGGGAAAGAAGTACAGAGAAGATGTGAGTTGTAACACGGGGGAGTAAGAAGTACAGAGAAGTATGTAGTTGTCACAGGGGGGAGAAAAGTACAGAGAAGATGTAGTTTGTACAACAGGGGAGAAGAAGTACAGAGAAGATGTAGTTGTACCAACAGGGAGTACACCTTGTCTCTGAGACTTTCAAGTCCTATATGTCGGTAAAAGGAAAAACTAGGTAAAAGATTATTTTTGGAACAGACTGTTTCTCGACTAGTCATAAACGGTGAAATACTAAGTATGGTGCTTGGCGCTGTAAAGCCTTTGTCGGGGGGGAGCGACAGGGTATATAGCCTTGATTTCACGCCTTTTCATGACGCCAAACTTGCGGCGGATAACTCAAGAACATTGGTTTACAGAGAGTCTCCCCTGCACCCCTCCCCGAGGAATAAAAGGTGATTCCATTGTCTGGTCTCTTAGTCGGTGAAACCTTTGTCCACTTTGTGCTCCTAATACCGTCCATTATCGACGTTACTACGGCAAACCACAAAGTCGGTTAGTCTCTGTCCGAGGACATAGTACTAGAACCTTGGACACTATATACTACTTTTTTTGTCATATTATCCCCTGGAAATTCCGGCCTTTGGCCGACCGATTTCGGTGTTGTAAATAAAAAATCAATAAACATTAAAAAAAAAAAAAAAAAAAATAAAAAAAAAAAATACTTTATTAATTCTATAAAAGGACAGCGACATTCTGTCAAGAAAGGTTCCCCCTTACTTAGAGAGTAGTTGGCGAGAGAGATAGTTTCATGGTCTGAGGTACTGGTGTGCGTCAGGGAGAACTTGTGTTTTCAACGCCGACGTTTCTGAGACTGTAAGAGTGACGTGCACAACAAATGAAACTTACAAAACACAAATATAGTCCCAATCTCTGATATAAGACTGATCTACACATCTGCTTTATATCAGACCGTTCTAAAACTTCAAGAAACATCTCATGGACACAAGCCACTCGTCTGAGACCTGCTGATCTCGGAAGGATAGGTCTATATCTCAAGCTACCACATCTCCATTCCGAGACCGACAGCCCGGCTTGCCAAAGGAGGGCCGTGAGGGGGCTCCAGAGGCCCTGAAGAAGAAGCATCGTCCACTCGCCCAGATCAGCCAAGCTTCTCTAGAGGACGGAGCTGGGCCAAGACCTCGACTAGAGTGGGCGACCTACAGCCAGGACGCAAACCAGCAACTAACAGCAAGACTAAAGACCAGGAATCAACTTTTGCCAAACAAGTGACTAACTCCTAAGAGCAAAGACCCAGGAATCAACGGTTCTCAACACCAGGACTAGACACCAAGGACCAAGACAGGACCAAGGTTACTATTGAAGGACAGGACGCCAGGCCAAGAAGGCGGTAATTTCCAGCCTGAGCTATGTCTCCTGCCCCGAAAGCGGAGCTATGAGGAGGAGCTAACCTCTCTCCTTCGTGGTCAGCTGACTCTCCCGTCTGTTTTCTGAAAAGTAGTTCTTTTGTGGTTTGGTCTGGCTTCGTTGGTCTAACAGACAAAACTAAGTTGGCAGAAAGTCGAAAATGGAAGGTCGACCTAAGACCTGCTCCTTGGACCTCCTTTACGACTCGAGAGTGACCTCGACACTCTTGCGGGAACGACCCTTGAGGGATTGCCTTTTGTGTCAATCTGCACAAACTTAGGTGGTTTATAGGAAAATAGGCAGACAAAATTCCTGTGGTCTTTTGCGGTAGTGTTAGAACCGAAGGGACAGGAACAATTTCAAGTCGAGACAGGTCCCTGATGTTGCTAGTTTCTAAGTGGTGTACGCTCAGTTTCCTTTCGGAAGTTTGTGTTCCAGTGTAAGGTAGTTGTTGGACAGTTGGGTTCAGAATGTCAGCGGTTTTGGTTAGATGATGTATGTTCAGACTCAGAATGACAATCTGCAGGAACGTTCTGTTAGACGTCAAGTTCTGCATTTCAGGAAACTCTGTTAATGTTCAGCGTGTCAGATTCTTCAGGGAGTTCTGTTGGTTTTTTAGTTCCAGGTTTGCACTGTCAGGACAGTCTGGCCCCCCTGAGACTGCGTCAGGTTTATCTCTCTCCCCCGCCACCCACGCTTGACAGTGACCCCCCTTTCGGAGCGACCGACACAAGAAAAAATGCCCCTTTGCCGCATGTCCGCTTGACACCCGACCACTCCCCTCACGCCAGAGAAATGGTCTTCCAACACCCAAGCTAGGGTCGGGTACGTCAAGTTGTACAGCTACATGAGTGAACCGTTCTATGAATTGGGACTCAACGAGGCTACC